AAAGAGACAATTAAATTTTTTTAAGTGGGTAGAATATTTCTTAGTTTTAGCAATACATTAAGTAGCAGTTCATACAGCTCTGGTCTGGTGTGTATTCGAAAAATGCCCAGTGCACATCAATAACTAAACACGGTTCGTAAAACTAGGTACCCACTTGCTCCCCCCAAATACCATGTTTTAAAACGGCAAAGATGTGTAACCTTATATCTTGCGAACTTATTTATTTATTTTACTCACTGAACTAAAATTAACCTGGAACGCACGATCCGAGAGAGAGAGGGCCACAAGGGGGATCTCTGGCCTACTCTCGCGCATGCCTATTTGATATGTTTTGAATTTATACAGTGTGAGCAACAATGATTGAAGCGTGCGTCATCACCGCTTGTTCCTATTAATATCAAAACTACCTTCTTTGTATGGAGTTGTATACGAAAATGACGTTCTGCGCTGTCACAGTGAGGTGCGTCTATTCGTATTTCGTATCTTGTATCAAATCAGCATATGCTATGAGCGGCACATTGCCAATTTAGCTGAAGCGGCACGCTTCAATCTTTGTTGCTCACTCTGTATTAATGATCAGTTTCCCAATGAGTGACAGTGACAGAAATCCCCTTGCACTATCTCTCTCGGCGCGCAACGTTTCTATGGCAGTATGCGTTCCAGTTTAATTATAGTTCAGTGATTTTACTGATTAAGGCGGCTCTGCAGTGAATTAAGATTTCGATTTTGCGCCGAGATAGAAAAATTTGTAGGCAACTAACAATACAAATTATTGATGTTTCTAATGTGGATTCTAAAACGCTCTAGGCTATATGTGCTATTCATTCACAAACAAAGCAATTAGTACCTAAGAGAATGAATTGAAATACTTACCTCTTTTCTTTCTTTTGTAATTTGTTGAGCTGGATTTATTTTGAAACGACTATATTAGTCATAGACAAATACCATTACCGTTATCTAGAAGTATTCAGGCTTTCATTAATCATTTAAATCTGAAAATTTACTTGCCAACATCGTTTTTTATGATCCGTCGAAAGAAAATATTATTATGATTCTACTATTATGGTTCTACCGGATGGCTATAGCAACTTTCTTATTTTAAATAGAACACCCTGTGTTTTATTACATTTTCGGAATCTACATGAAAATCTACGTCGTTTGATACCACATTTCCCTATACCCAGCATCAAAGGTTTTCAAGTAATTCAAGATTTTTCAAAATTCAAAAATTGACAGTACTGACTTGATTCTACGTGACAATGATTTAAATTTTGATCGCCCTTTTACAGGGTGTTTTAAAACTGATGGTCAACTTTATTAATACATGCATGATACATGCTTTATTTTTTTGCACTTTCAAATGTGGAAAAAAATTCTACAGCAATCTACTATTTCGTTCCGTTTACCTATCTGTTATATGCTTTCCGTTTTATTTTAGATTTTCTAAAATTGTGACCCTTATGCATAATTTTTTTAGAAAGCGTTGAAATAACGTTAGAAGACTAAACTTGTCAGACCTTTTTATAGTTATAGTTGATAGTGATGGTAGAATGAACAAAAAGTTAAATAAAGAAGACATAATAAACAGAAACAGGTAATAATAACAAACGACAATATAAAAAAAAGCAACATCAATTGAGGGTTTGTTCTACGTGACCACCGTTTTTTTCAATACATAATAGGATCTTCCGATTAATTCCGTTGGGAATCGTCTCTCTAATGTCTACTACATCCATTTCATCAAAAGCTCTTCTCTGCCTAACTTCCAGTTCTTCACGAAAAGCAACTGGTGTGAAGTAAATGTTGTCTTTATATGACCCCACACAAAAAACCCCAATGGCGTTATATCTGATAAGTTCTAGGAGGCCAACGCCACGGACCTCTGGCTTCTATCTTCAAAAATGTTAGTGAAAGATATATAAGGATCATGGATAGAATGAGCCCGCGCTTCGTCATGTTGAAACCAGTTGTTTTCTTCATGTAAATTCTCAAATGCTGGGAAAATAACATCTACTAACGCATTTATTTCAAGGCCTCCTAAGAAAATTATGCATAACGGTCACAATTTTAGAAAATCTAATAAAACGGAAAGCATAACAGAATTATATGTATAGGGAATGTAATACTAGATCAATGTAGAATTTTTTTGACATTTGAAAGTGCAAAAAAATACCTAAAGCATGATTCGTTTGAAAAAATCAACTTTTTAAGGTTTGAAGTTAAATAAAGTTGACCACTAGTTTTAAAACACCCTGTAGAAGGGCGAACAAAATTTAAATCATTGTTACGCAGGATCAAGTGAGTACTGCCGATTTTGGAATACTTTTTGAAATTGAAGCCAACGGAGTCATATATACAGGACTGAAAATAAGGAACAGCCATACATAAAAAATGTTCAAAATCTTGAATAACTTGAAAACCTTTGATGCTGCATATAGGGAAATTGGTATCAAATTTTCATGTAGATTTCGAAAATACAGGGTGGTCTATTTAAAATAAGAAGTTGCTATCGACATGCGATAGAACCAGAAGTGAAACGATCATTCTTTCGACAGGTCAAGAATAACTATGTTGGTATGTTGTCAGATTTAATTGATCAATGAAAGCCTGAATACTTTTAGGTATCGGTTTGCGTGACACGGCCTGTAATACTTGATGTAAGTACGGAAGTAGGTATCCACAAGAATCTTACCATTACAAACTTCTAATCACTGAAACCAGTAAAGGAATACTATTTTCTAATTATAGGAAGGTGTTAATGACGCCGAACAAAGCCCAAGGAGGTGAATTCCATTGCAGATAACAATGAATAGCCTAATCTCTAAATCTATTGTTAGAAAAATGAATAGGATTAATTCGTAATTTTCAGGTAATGACAATTTCAATTTCGCCGGCGGGCGTATGGTGTAATTTAAGTTGCCTAACTGTGCTTTCAATTGGTGAAATACTTCATGATGTCATCAAAACATTTTCCCCAATTTTTGTTCTTAATTTAAGGGATGAAAAAGATATATCTATGTACAATCATACAATTTTGTTAGCTGGTTCTAAATCGCCAAAACCCATGTCTGTATGTTTTATAGAGGCGTCGTTATCTTAAAGACAAGCTTTATCAATTGTACTAGTTATTTCCAAAATTATGGTAAACTTCAAAATTTGGTTTACGCACAATCCTTCTGTTGGTTAATACCTACAATATATTTGACGTCGGCCCTTTTTTTAAATGCGGTTATAAAATCAAAATCTTAAAGAAATGATTCGCTGTTTTGCGGATAGTTCAACATTCACTGCAGAGCCGCCTTTATGTATGGTGGTGGATTAGTAGATATACATTCCCTCTCAACCGCAGGAGATGCAGTAAATTGGGTATTCTTGAAATCAAGCGCATGACAATTGTTATTCTATGAGCATTACAATCCAGACCCTTGGAAGGTCCATTTGCACCTCCGTTGATCCGCCCATGGGTAGCAATAAATAAATCCCTACACCCCAACTTTGAATGCTCTCATTGTCTTAGCCCGGAAAAACGAGTAGTTACCCCATCCCTTATTCGTTCTCACGTAAAATACAGAGAGAACCTCCTTGAAAAGTGTTGCCTCCAATCAGGCATTTCTCTAAAGTCTAAGGCGACTAAATAGCCTAGGTCCTATTTTTCATGTCTTTAAAAAGACCATATGCGTCAAAGTTTAAAGCCAATTATTATCACCAACTGTTAAAGACCACCACAAACGGTCTTGTAACAAGGGATTCTTTTTTATTGCACGCAATGAGGTGTTAAAGTGTAGGTAGGTACCTTTTTTATATCTTTAGGCCTTCTATGTCAAAATTATGTGGCTGTTACATGTGATGTATAGATAGTAAAAATAAAACAGAAAGACAACTTACAAGGAAAATTAATTACATATTAACGATAATAATTTAAATATAAATAAACAAAAAAGATACATAGGGGAAAACGTTTGAATGGAGCGGAAACTTTTCGCGCGTTTTATTGTGTATGTTTTAGGGAATTTTTGCGGGGGTTGGCAAGATGAAGTTGAAGTTCCCGCTATTTTTATTTTGGTTAAGTTGTTTTTGTTGGGAACTTAGACGATCGTTCAAAGAGCATTTCCTGAAAAGCCTTTGAAACGAGAAAAAGAAGAGTGTAATTAGTGAAAAGTGGGTAGTTCTGCATAATTGGATGGTACAATGGATAAGGATAACGTAAACAAAATCCGTTTGGCGGTGTCTAGCCTGCAGGAACCATCGTTGGGAGACTCGGAAAAATTGAAGAAGTTTAACGTTATAAGGGAGTGTTTATATTCTTGCAAACTGCAAGGGAGTGTCGATGATAAAATACTGACACGGCAAGTCTTTACTTTGTGTAATTCCGAGCTGGATACCTCCAATTCTGAGCTGCTAGTAAGCGTCTTTACCCTATTGGAGCTGCTCTTTAATTGTAATTCTGAGAACTATGTCGGCAAAGTTGTCCCACATTCGTACCTGGCAGTAGCTTTTGAGTCCAATCACAAATATTCCGGCACAGTAAAAGAGTGCGCGTTAAGTTGCATTCAGACGTGTCTTCATAGGTTAGTAGTCACGAATTGCTACGACTTGACACAATTAGATAGCAGCGTAAACGACATGGAAGTCGGTAGTAAGGTGAGTAACACACTAATTGTCCTTTGATATTCAGTTTTGACTGTTTGTAGATGTTCGATCTTCTGCTATGTGTAATGACTGATGTACCAGCCAACAATTGTTTGCAGTTTTTCTACGATACTCTCATGTCTACCATGTTTGAGACTGAGAACGTGCAACTACGCTCTAAGTTAATAGATTTCGCAATGGAACTATTGCCTCGTTTTTCTATTCAGTTGCTCACTAGTTGTCAGCTGGAAGAGTTTAAGAACAAAGTGAAAAATTGGTACGTCACAATCGATAGGTGATTTTTAGCTTGCCTACGTGATTATTTTTCAGTTACATTAAAAGGATAGGCGTTATAAGAAACCAAAACGATCCCAGTTGGTCCAAACTTGTTAAGTTTCTTTTGAAGTGTTTTGGAAAAGTGATACATTCCTGTGTGGATCTGATGAATAATATACTTAAAATTGTTGAGGGTGCATTTCGCAGTCATAATTTAGATGATCGATATTATGCCTATGAGTGCTGGAAGGTAGGTTTAACCATGGTAGAAAGTCGTATTATTTATACTGTGGCATTAGCTCAGTTAGTTAAAGGTCTGTGCTAACTTTTGGCATGCTTTGTTAATTCACATCAAATACTTTCTTTGAAAAAGTCCCAAGGTAAGTCCAATAGTAGGTACTTACACAAGCTCTAGAAGTACTTACTCATTTTTTTTCTAAAATTGTATGGCCAATTCTGTGTCAACGTTTTCATCCACATTCTGCATAGCAGAACTATAGGTATACATGAATATCACATGCACATTGTCTGTGGAATTTTGTATATCCATAACAATAATGTGGAAAAGTATGTCAAAAATGTCCACTGTATGTGCCAGGGATATACGTTTGGCAGATTTCACATACCTATGTGTTTTAGATGTGTTATGTATATTCTCGTGTATTTTCATGTATATGTATCAGACATGCGTCATGACAAGTGGATATACCATGATAATAAAATTCCTATAATATGCAAAGATATTCAATAGGATATTCCATCGACTTTGTATACATTTAGAATGGATGTCCATAGAGATTCCTCTAATATTCGGGAAGCTTCCTAGCATTAATCTATACATAAATAAATTATTTTACTGTGTGAAGTTTATTAAGTCTCTGTATCTTAGTATATAATGGAAACAATAGGTATTTGTTTTCACAAAGTCTTTACATTTATTGGCAATGAAACACGACTGACGGCTAACAAAGTAAGCATGCTATTTACTATTAACAACAAGTATGTAATAACAATATTTAATAAATCCACAGATAAAGTTAAAAAAACAAATAAAAATCGCAAAGTTAGTAATTTGGTAAATTTTTAATGAAACGCCGTGTATATTTTTGAAAAATTGAATACACATTTTCTTTTTGATTGCAAAAAAATATAATAAGTTGAAATTCGCTTTAGTCAACCGGCATCTCTTCAAAGGATTGAAAATGTGCACAGTGTGATTATACAAGGAACTTTACCAGACGCATCTTTACTATTCATATTCTATTAATTGCACCATTATTTAAATAAAGTATTTAAACAATGATTGCACTTATCGCCACGGACCCAGTTGGCTCCTCTTACAGGTTCTAAATTAGTCATCGGCGCATAGCCCGCTGTATCCTTCTGACATGCTGGTACCAGTATAAGTAAAGTTACTTAGCTATACTTACCTAGGCATATGTTAACTCACAATACTTTCAAATGCTTAAAATGTGCACAGTGTGAATTTCTTTATTGTCTATAACTTTTTATTGAGAGGTCTGATCGAAAAGTACGAATTGTTTTGGATTCTACGCACCAAAATTAATAAGAAAAACTGTTTTCCCGAGAAATTTTGGTGCAGTCGATTTTTGGTAAAAAAGGAAGGTTATACACTGCCTTTTTTTGAAGCCCGAAGAAAAAATTGTCTCAGATCGACCCGGAAAAAAAATGTTCTTATAGAATGTGGCCTGTAGAATCCATAATTTCAAACAGTTCCAAGATTGGACTACTAGTTCAAATTTGAATACTTTAAAGGAGTTGAATACTAAAAAGTATTTACAAAATCGAATACTGCCCAGCTCTGTTAGTTATACAGTTATTACTTCCCATTACTTCTGAGCATATGCCAGAAACATTTAACAGTTCCAAAAAGTTGATATGTTGTTTTCTATTGGAACCTTACCAACGCCCTCCAGTTTTTCCGCATTACAGCATGCATCAGTATAGATGGTAGTTTTGTAGGAATCTACAAGTGCAAATTTGGATAATTTTTAATAGAACACCCTGTATATTTTACAAAAATGGAATACATCTTTACAAAAATATATGAAATGTAGACATTTGCTTCTATTTGCATTTATAGTAGGTATATTATCAAATTGGTTTACCAAATGGCAGTTGCGATAAAAAAATAAATGAGCATCATTATTTATTCTTAATTAATATATAATTTTTACCCTGAAAATAACCTACACCACCTTTACTTTTTAATATTTTTTTTTTCAATAAACAAAATGTAAGCAAAATTTACAAATGTTGAATCTTGCTTCTAATACATTTTCTGTAGTCTTTATAATATTATACACTGTGTCCAAGATAAAGATGTCTACCTTGGGGATCTCCGAAACCATAGAAGATACAACGATTAGAGAAAGATTGCGTAATTAAACAGAAAACCAGAAAATTCCGATTACTTCCGAAGATATACCAGAAAAACCGATATCTGCCGATTCCGTTTTTATTTTTTTCTGGTGTTATTTGAACAGATACAATTAAATAAAAATAATTTACCGTTAAGAAATTTGCAATATGTTCTTTTCTGAGAAATCATCATCAAGTTTTATATAGCCCCGTATAAAAAGTACAGACTGTATTGAGTAAGTAACAGACAGGCGGACAGTGTTCACAATAGCAGCTTTTCCCTTTCTGAAAATGCCCGAAAATCAGACCTAGCTGTTAGTTTTAATGTAATTGTTGGCTGGTCCATTGGTATTAAACAAATTCTTTTAGGAATTAATCGACAACTACAGCCTGGACATGGATCGTCTACGCGCTCCCAAGCAGATGAACTTGCTAATTACCCCTTTGAAGTCAAATGTGTCCACTTCAAATCCTCGAATATCGCATAAACGCCTCGAAATTTGGGCGCATCTACTTGGCACATTACAACAAGGTGCGCTTCCGTATTTAAAAACGTTCTTTTCTGCTTGTTACTCTGAGGACAAAAAGTCGTGCAGCGAAAAATCACAGCAAGAGCCAAAATTTCATGAAGACGCAACGCTTGTGCTTTTAGAAGTTATTGGTGAGTCCCAACGAAATGCTGGTCTCAAATCTGTCTCACTGTTCCAATTAGGTCACTATGGTCACACTGAGGAAAGCGGATGCTATAATTATGAGAAGATTCTTAAGCTAAACGAGCCATTGGTTAAAGCTGAAAACTTTAAGGAATTTGAAAGTTTGATATTATCTGCTCTGCGCCAGTGCTCTCCCGTGAACTCACAATGGATGCCTACTTCTGACCTATTTCAGGTAATTTTTAGAACATCCACAGTTTCCTATGTAAAACTAAATTTTCAGGTCCAAAAATGTATGTGGGGCTCTTTCTTTAATTTACTTCGGGGTTGCGAGGCAGCACAACAAAAGCAAACGATACAGATTATAGTTGCAGATTTGATATTCCACATTAAGGTACTTTCCCTAGTGATTTTTCGTTTCACAATTTTTTCATTAGCTTATCCATGCGACCAACAAGTATTTACTTTACGCCGTAAAACCAATCTTGGAAGTGCTAGCCGAGGGAAAATTTTTTGATGTTAACTTTTTTAACGATTTAATCTTCTTGCCACTATTCAAGTTGCTCTTGAAGTACAGTGAAGAACTATTTTTACTGTAAGTGCGAAAGTGTTGCCGTAATTTATTATTAATGTCTACTGTTTACAGTGATCGACCGCTTATCACTGATCTGTGTAATTATAGTAAAGATGGTAAGCCGCAAGATGTGTGGTTTATGGAAATGTACAAAATACTAACGAAAGGCGAAGCTACCAGTGTGTTTCTCAATTCTTTAATATTATGGTTGGAATGCGTAGACAACGTACTTTCTTTGTGCCATAACGGTGGGGAGAAAAATAGCAAGATGCTACAAAATAAAATTGTAGAGTTTATGATGTGGCCTATTGCAGATCTTCAAGAGATTCGTTATTATAGTCATCAACCTAACATTTATAATGTAAGTATACTGGTAATTAAATCGTTACATTGTTCTTTGTGAGCTGAATTATTTCAGTATTTATTTTATACTTTGCCAGTGTTGTTGAGTTGACAGGGTTTCAGCTGAGGCGCGAGGTTGCTTTTCCAACCTCACCTACTATCTATCAAAGCTCCCATCTCCGAACCGGAGACCCTTTTGAGCATAGCCGGCCCCTATTTCTCTAGACAAAGTCATATAGCCTGCAAATACATGCTGAGTTCTAGATGATAGCGTTGGGCAAAAAAATCGATTAATCGATTATAATCAAACGATAATCGATAATCGGGTTTGATTATTCTATTAAATTAATCGATTATTTGATTAATCGATTAGTTGATTAATCGATTATTTGATTAATCGGTTATTTGATTAATCGATTGTTCGATTAATCAATTATTAAGTAAATTTTAATTGATTATTATTAGCTGGATCATCAGTTTACCCAAAAAGGAGCACTCACAGCTCACAAGTATTATTTTATTTTATAGCGGATGTTAAAACGTTACTTTAAGCAGCTAAAATGAATTAAGATTGTATCATCAAAACTAAAGCACACCTCATCGGAGAGTAAGCTGCCTAATCATTTATTTTTATTTATTTATTTTTATTTTTGACCTTCATGGGCAGGGTTTCAGCCAAGGCTGTTCTACCAACCAACCCACTATGCATTTGCAAATATCCATGCCCGAACCCGGTTTCGAACCAGGGACACTTTGTTGTTGATTAATCGATCTGCCTAGTAATGAACGATTTGATGAAAAGAGTAATGGAATTATTTTTTATTTTTATTATTAAATAATTAACGTATTAATGCATACAAACAGATATTTATCACTCCTTGTATGTGACAATCGACTTTTGATTAAACGATTAGGTGATTAATCGATTATTTGATTAATCGATTATTTGATTAATCGATTATTTGATTAATCGATTAATCAGTGTAATCGATTATTTTTCATAATCGATTATCGATTATTCAAACCCGTAGTCGCCCAGCCCTACTAGATGATAGGAAAGGTTTAGTTTGGCGCACCTTGTGGTTAGGCCAACCTTCCCAGACTCTGAGAAAAATTGTGAAGTTTTGTCTTCCGTAGTCATCATTATCTCAGGGGAACAGGTTTCATTTAGACCTTTTGTCTGGGTAGGTTTCGTTCACATGTGTTCTTCATGTTTTTGAGTATCTTTTCAATTTTTTTAAATATTTGCTGTTATGTTTAATTTGGAAAACAGTGACGAAGCAACTCCGATAATAACATTTACATTAATACAACAGGAACATTTAAATAAATATAAATTTAACACTCTTATCTAGGTTGTAATTTGGGCTTGACTAAACCATAGAGTAAATAATATAAAGAGGTTCCATGCTGTATAAATTTGTGACAGTGAGAGACTATCCCTGAACATAGATGGCGAAAAGCAAATGCAGACGCTCCCTCTGAATTCAAGAATAGTGTACCTACTAAATTATTACTAACACTGCTTGTTACTGTTGTTATGTCAGCTCGCTGTGCGTTAATAAGTGGAGAAAGGAGTGGGCGACACGCAACCATGAAATGTATACTTTTATTTATCAGCAGCATTTTGCTACTCACATAACACCATTCTTTCTTTGCTTTTTTATAAATTTTTGTACTTTAGCTATAGATAGCAGTCTGCGCTTTTGCGTTTCACTCTTAGATATAGTTATCTCTCTCTCTCTCATTACCGGGTCTTTAATAACAACTGTTCTTGTCACTGTAATTAATATAGATTGTTGAAGGGTTGAGTGGTAGAGCAGACTGAGTTATCTTGGTAGCTCCAGTCTGGTACAGTCGATTTTTGGTAAAAAAGGAAGGTTGTACACTGCCTTTTTTTGAGGCCCTCAAAAAAAATTGTCTCAGATCGACCCGGAAAAAAAATTTTCTTATAGAATGTGGCCTGTAGAATCCATAATTTCAACAGTTCCAAGATTGGGCTACTAGTTCAAAAGTTACAGCCCTTTGAATTTTCTTTCGAAATTGGTTTCTAGTCTATAACTTTTGATTGAGAAGTCTGATCGAAAAACTACGAATTGTTTTGGATTCTATACCTCAAAATTAATAAGAAAAAGTGTTTTCCCGAGAAATTTTGGTGCAGTCGATTTTTGGAAAAAAGGAAGGTTGTACACTGCCTTTTTTTGCCCCGAAAAAAAAATTGTCTCAGATCGACCTGGAACAAAATTTTTCTTATAGAACGTGGCCTGTAGAATCCATAATTTCAAACAGTTCCAAGATTGGGATACTAGTTCAAAAGTTACAGCCCTTTGAATTTTTTTTCGAAATTGGTTTCTAGTCTATAACTTTTGATTGAGAAGTCTGATCGAAAAAATCCGAATTGTTTTGGATTCTACGCTCCAAAATTAATACTCGAGAAATTTTGGTGCAGTCAATTTTTGGCAAAAAAAGGAAGGTTTTATAACACTGCCTTTTTTGGAGGCCCTCAAAAAAAATTGTCTCAGATCGACCCGGAAAAAATTTTTTCCTATAGAATGTGACCTGTAGAATCCATAATTTCAAACAGTTCCAAGATTGGGCTGCTAGTTCAAAAGTTACAGCCCTTTGAATTTTCTTTCGAAATTGGTTTCTTTTCTAGTCTATAACTTTTGATTGAGAAGTCTGATCGAAAAAGTACGAATTGTTTTGGATTCTACGCACCAAAATTAATAAGAAAAAGTGTGTTCCCGAGAAATTTTGGTGCAGTCGATTTTTGGAAAAAAGGAATGTTATACACTGCCTTTTTTTTGCCCCAAAAAAAAATATCATCGTATATAATATACATCTTTATATACAATGGTGTACAATGGTAGTATGGATGGAATTGATCTTTTCTCTCACAAATACACTATACTTACAGCACTCCCACATTAGTGAATTGCGCAAAAGGACCCTGTTTGCGTAAATTCCAAACAAAATTGCTAAAGCAGTGTTAAAACGGTCTACGTGTACCGCTAATCCAACAAAAACGTTAGAAATTATACGCATAATCAGTTATATTTTCTCACTGTACCTATTTAATTTTCATTGCTAGCTAAATTCAAATAAAGTTTGTAATTGGGTAATTGGGTAAGGCGTTAAAATGATAAGATAAATAGGTCTATGGCCTGAAAGAATTAAAAGACTCCTTGCATCGGAAGCATAATATCACATTCCGGTGATTAAATATAATGCTGACAGTATCATGGTCTGTGTCTGGTGCAAAGTAATGAAGTAATTCAAATCTCAACTTTGTTGTCAGTATATTTAAATAGGTAATACAGGTTACATGCTGCTGTTTGGTAATACAGCGATACAACAGCTTTGAAGAACAGTCACAAGATAGCAACACTTCCTTACAAGATTTTCTACTGCAACAATATCCTATCCCATGACACCTCTTTATATTATTTACTCTATGACTAAACCCAAAACATCAATCAAATAAACCGAAAAAAAATGGCACCCAGGGCCAGATAAAGCACACCACGCAATAAACGATGGATTAAAAATAAAAATAAGTTTTAATTACCTTAAGTTAAATAATCTTATCATCCTGACATAATTGCGCTTTTCAACAAACAGATGCGCTAACACATAACACAACAACCAAGCTGATGATGCTTCTAAACTTCACTTCTTTGACTTAACTTGCACATGAATCTAGATGGCGCTGACTTCGTTCTAATTACAATTATAGTATGAGCGCTTTGGTGGTGGAAAAAGTCCTTTTAACTGATAACTTGAGGACCTTAAAGAAAGGCTTCTCTTTAGTGACAAACGCTCGATATCCATAGCACTCTTGCACGTTTCCTCTTACCTCGACTTAACGTTCATTTTTATTACGACGTAAAGAAAATTCTTGAAATACTCTAGCTTTCGTTCTTCTACACAACTTTACAATTAAACACGACAGACTGTCTTTTCAAATACGCCCAAATACAGAGTGGCCCAACGAGAAGTATACAGAGGGCTTTTAGGGTATTAAATTTAGAAATTTCGAAAAATCCTTGAACACATCAATTTTTTTTCAAGGGGGACAACTTTTGGAATACAATCACGAACCCAAGTCTTCACCCCTCTATGTAGGGAGCTTAACCCCTAAAATTTTAAATGGAATCCTATGGCAAATGGCACATTATTTGAAAGACAATTTAATTGTGATTACTAATCTGCTTTGCTTTTTAATTCTATTGATTCGTTTCTTAATGCAGCATAAACATTTATTTACATCTGAAATTAAATTGATTAAATAGGCTTAGCTTGGAGCACTGTTAACGTGAACTCAAGGCTAATTTTTTTTAGTTTAGGCTTTTTTGTAGTCTTTTGGGGCTTTGATAATGTTGAGAATGTTACAATCGACTGTTATTAGGCGTAGCCGTTTTTTTTTACTTTGCCGCCGACGATGTCCATTTCTGAATTTTCGTGGCTACCTCCTGTAGTTATAATCGACACTCCAGTGTAGTACTGATTTCATACCCTTAGTTGAAGCACTTTCGAACAATTTATTTGTTTCAGGAAATTATATGTAAGTGGACAACTTTATTTCGACAGTTGGCTAATAACAGTGAGATGGAAGCGATAATGGTTATTAATCAATTGGAGTCTATAATTGGACCGAAAACATACGGGACTATATCTTTGCTGTATAATTCGTTTAAGGACTTAGGAAAAAGTGATAAGATAGGTATGTCTCCGGTACTTCACACAAAATCTTCCTTCTTGTTTCCTGATACCTGATAGTATTTGATCAATTGCTAATTGGTATCAATTTGCAGATGATGCTCTATTGAAATTAACATTTACTATGTTGAACAACTCCAAATTAACTTCCTGTGAATTAGAACAATTGGTACCAGTTCTACTAACCATTTACAAGAGGTCTATTGAAAAACACGATTCTGTCAAGTTTGTAACAGTATTGGAATGTTTCACTTTGATACTTCCCAATTCTAAAGTAGGTATTGAAAATACACCCGTTCGTAAGCTGATTATAATTTTATAGAAATATGACCTTTTGGTACCCTTTGAGAAGCTTCTGGAATCCATTCCAGAATCGCTGAAGCAATCGATACCCCAATCACTAATTCGCACACTTTCGGACTTAGTAGGCGGCGACGATAAAAAGTTTTCATTTAAAGCAGATCGCATATTGAAAAAGATCCACAGTTTGGAAAAGAAATTTCTGAAACCGAATATTTTATCGCGCAGTACGAAGATGGTGGCGATGTCAAAAAGAGAAACGCCAACCTCTGAGGATGCAACGATTTTGCGTTTGTTTGGTCAGCCTGTGGTATCTCCCAGTGGGACTATTAGAGGCAGTCAACTCAATAACAATCCTATTAAATCAAAAAGAATTAAAAAGCCCGAAATACCCAAACCGTCTAGTATCTTTGACGACGACGCTACTTATGTACCCATTGATTCCGATTACAAATTTGATCGTAGCAAGTTAAACGACCATCAGCTGGAGATGTTGAAGAAGGATAGGTCTGATATACCGGCGTTGTACCAGGATTTATCGCAGAGCCAATCAAACTCGGTTTGTGCTTTGGTCGATGTTCAGAAGCCGAATCCAGTTTTAGATGGCCAGTCTTCGGATTTGTTTCAGTCCGAAAATCAGAATGTTGGCCAAAGTGGTACCAAAGACGATGAGAAAGAGGGAGATCCACCGCCAAATCATGTAGAAAATGAAACCCAGGTACAAATGGAGCCTGTGGTGGCGAGTGAAAATGATACAGGCACTACTGTACAGATCAGCCTTAAAAAGTTGGGCCCTGTTGAAAGATTGCTTAAAACTCTGAAGGTGGATGTGGTCGGTGGCGAATTATTCACCAAAGTAGATGTCACAAGTAAACGGTCCACTCGACGTCATTCGGAAAATCCTCACTCAGACAGTGGATCTAAAACGCCAAAGAAAGCCAAACCAAAAAAGGTTCAACTTGAAACAACTGAGCAGTGCAGTACTCCGACTTCAGCTCCTAAACAGTATGTTAATGCACGAAAATTATTGGAGAGCATCACAGAACCAACGTCTAAAACTGTGGATACTGCTCAAAATAGTGAGGACGTGATTGAGTCTTCCCAGGAGTTATCAGTTGAACCATTACAGCATCAAGATGACGAAACTAAAGCCATTGAAGAATTGCATAAACTTCCCGATGAAAAAATATCTGCTGTAATTGATTTGACAGTAAACAACGATGATTTCGATTTGGAAGAAATGGAAATCGAAGCGGGTGTAGAAACGCCGAGCAAATTGGTAAACATAGAATCATCTCCGGTGCATCTTGAAACACCAACGAGAAATGCCGAGTTAATCGAAGTGACTGAAGATTTATCACCGATCGCAGTCGAAAAAGCACCGGGGGAAATCCTCGAATCAGAAATAAAATCCGAACCTACCGCCGAAAACGGAATTGTCCGACAAGAGGTGGAAATCCCACCGAAACCCGAAGATCCGAAGATTGCGTTTGTTGAAAAATCCAGTAGCAGCACGCGCGCGGAACGATTGCTCCAGTTAGCCTCCGGAAATTCGTCTCCCGCCACTAGTAAACTAGCAAAGTCGCCCGCCAAACACGCGAGGAGGCGGGCTTTCGTGTCGGCGGAAACTCGAAGGATGATGAAAACAATGCAAAAGTGTCAGAAGGAGTTGCAGTTTCATCGACAAATCGATGGCGTACCTATCCCGAATGTGGAATACGAAAAGGAAGTGATGGACAACCTTTTGCATTTTGCCAGAGAAATTCCACCTCCCGGCGCGTCTCCCAGTTGTACCATTTTGAAGAGGAAAGCTTCTGTCATTGATGAGGAAGGATCATCCCCTCCACGAAAGGTAAATATAATACAACATGTTCACAGTCGCTCATTTAACAAGGTTGTGCTACCACATCCCCTAACAGTGCAGCATTAAAATCTTACACTTCACCATTGCGCCCCATCCCTGTTACGGTTATGGCAAGTTCAAATCGACCGCTAAAGGGCGTAAAATGTAAGTAGTTGCGTGTTATCAGATAATCTGAATTAAAAAAACTTTTGATTGAGAAGTCTGATCGAAAAAGTACGAATTGATTTGGATTCTACGCACCCAAATTAATAAGAAAAAGTGTTTTCCCGAGAAATTTTGGTGTAGTCCATTTTTGGTAAAAAAGGAAGGTTATACACTGCCTTTTTTTGAGCCCCGAAAAAAAAATTGTCTCAGATCGACCCGGAAAAAAATTTTCTTATAGAATATGGCCTGTAGAATCCATAATTTCAAACAGTTCCAAGATTGGGCTACTAGTTCAAAAGTTACAGCCCTTTGAATTTTTTTTCGAATTTGGTTTCTAGTCTATAACTTTTGATTGAGAAGTCTGATCGAAAAAGTACGAATTGATTTGGATTCTACGCACCCAAATTAATAAGAAAAAGTGTTTCCCCGAGAAATTTTGGTGTAGTCGATTTTTGGTAAAAAAGGAAGGTTATACACTGCCTTTTTTGAGCCCCGAAAAAAAAATTGTCTCAGATCGACCCGGAAAAAAAATTTTCTTATAGAATGTGGCCTGTAGAATCCATAATTTCAACAGTTCCAAGATTGGGCTACTAGTTCAAAAGTTACAGCCCTTTGAATTTTTTTCCAAATTGGTTTCTAGTCTATAACTTTTGATTGAGAAGTCTGATCGAAAAAGTACGAATTGATTTGGATTCTACGCACCCAAATTAATAAGAAAAAGTGTTTTCCCGAGAAATTTTGTTCTAGTCGATTTTTGAGCCCCGAAAAAAAATTCTGATCGACCCGGAAAAAAAATTTTCTTATAGAATGTGGCCTGTAGAATCCATAATTTCAAACAGTTCTAAGATTGGGCTACTAGTTCAAAAGTTACAGCCCTTTGAATTTTCTTTCGAAATTGGTTTCTAGTCTAGCTCGTCAAAACCTGGTGTGATAGTGCTGTTTTTGTTGCCGCTTTCTATTGTCCAAGAGGCATCAGCTGGTCACGTAAAATTTTACCCCGGATAACTGAGACTGTTTTTATTTGAAAGGCGCATCTCCAACTCTAAAATGCCTCTTCGCGTAAATTTTATCACTCGTAAGTTAAACTCGTTGGTAACTAGTACTTTGCGACTTCGTTTAAATGTTTCCCAACGACGTAATCGACGTGCTAATTCGTTGAAAGTCACTCCTCGTCTGCCGAAAGCCCCCTTACAATCTGGTCTCTCTCGCGTTGATCTTAAAAACAGCTTACGTTCTTATGGAAATGCACGCGTTATCGCTCTTATTTGAGACATACTTTTGTTCGCGTTCGCTATGAAGCGGTATATCTGTAAATTAAAAGTTGAACAAAAATTCAAACTTCTGAAATTCTAAACTGACCACCCATTACACATTCCTAATCCTGTGAAAAGACCGACTGATTGATTCATTCAAACTACTTTATATATCATACTTAAAATTCTAGGACAAAGAACAGTAATTATCCATCTGAAGGGGAAGCTTTCCTTGTGCATCTTAAATTGTACTACTTATCTTTGAATATTTTATCACCAGTACTTTGAATACAAACGACTGTTGTTCTAGTGCAATTTTTGGTGTACTGTTTTTATGTTCAAGGCTGTATATGGGAGGCATTTCCGGGGCAACGAGTAAATATATACGCATTTCCGTCCAATAAATTTAGTAAAAGTTAAATGCATTCGTATTCTTTCCCCTTTAACTTCATCATTAAATGTAAGAGAAAGAGAGCGACCTTTAAATAACCTTCTAATCGCAGGATTATTTTTATGGTAACCTCCTTCATTTTGTTTTGTAGCATTGGCTAGAGGTTATCCTACACCAAAGAGTTTTGTTATGATTTATTTATTTGCCTTTATTTTTGAGTGGGCGGGGTTTCAGCCAAGGCTGCTCTACCAACCCAACCCACTATACATTTACAAATATCCATGCCGAACCCGGATTCGAACCAGGGACCCTTAGTACCACAGTCCAGCTTCAACTGAACTGCGCCACACATTGTCATACCTTTCATTATACTAGACTATAAAGATCGACTGGAAGGGAATAATAATAATAATAATCTCTTGTTAGCACTGTTGCTGGATCACCTTTTGGCTTTTGCTGAATTTTTGCGCATCTTAGTGATCCATTTGTGTATCACAGTGGTACTAATGGCTCCCCCTGCATGTTGCGGACACGTAAAGTGTTTAATTGTTGTTTTTTATTCAACAGAAACGTGTGAATTACTCAGACCCTGAGGTGACAAGTAAGAAATTTTACATCCCCGACATAAATGAGCATGGCCGAGAGATTATTATAATTAATAAGGTTAAAACGGCAAACAGTTGCGTGGACAGTGTCGAAATTGGGGAAAATGAATCCACACACACGGATATTGACACAATGGTTAATGAAATTATTGTGAGCCACGACAATAACGTATGTGAACTTGTTGATGTCGATGTCCAAACGGAAAATTTACCAGATACCGAAACACAAGGATCAATCCAGATTGCAGATGTCGCCTTGTTAGACAGAGATAACGCCGTATTTCCTCAGCTTGTTGAATGTGGGGCAAGCGTTGAGGAGGTTTCAGCTTCTTTGAGTGATCCCCTATTTGTCACAGCACTTCTAGAAGAACTGCGTAGAAAAAATGTCTTTACCATAGGAGATTTAGCCAAACTGACTGAATTAGAAGTAAATCGTTTACCAATTAAGCCTCCGAAAATTACCAATTTACGAACTACTCTATCCAACTATCAAATGACAGTTTCCGAAAAAGCAACTAAAAAAGTTTGTACAGAATGGCACGAAAATAATAACAAAATCTTTACACCGCCAAAACAAAAAAGACGAGTACCACTTATACCAGTTATCGAAAGAAATGGGCCAAGTCAACAATTTCAGGCACCACTTTCGGATCACAATGCGTTATTTAAACCTCCCCCTAGTCCCAAACAGGAAAGCATTACAGTAATTCCTCATAAATCGGATGATACTATTGTAAAACCTTCTCAAGACATTGTTACGAGTCAGCATCCCGGAGAAGTCGTTATGAAAGCTATTAATCTCATAAAGCAGGGAGCAGTGAAAGAGGTGCATTTTAAATTATTTTTTATTGCCACGTTAAACTACAATAATTTGTTTCAGGTTGATAGAGATTTATGTCGAGCTGTAATGGGCCTGGTTGAACCATGCAGATTAATTGAAATTTTACAAGAGAATGACACATTTAAGTTGACAGCTTTTATAAAAGAAGCAGATTGGTCGGAAGTGCTAGACAAGATTGTGAAAGAGGGGGGTTTGCAGAAATTTTTCTCAGTGTTAAATAAGGTTCCCAACATATCACCAAAGACAGTATTAAGCACGTGCATTGAACACTCCCTGCAAATGTATGATTTGACAATTCCACATTTAGGTTTAGAAAGTATAATTAATGATATGCACAAAATGTGTATTAGATCAAACGTTCCTGTAGAGAGTTTTTTTAAGTATGTATTTTGTAAGTTTACGCCCTCCATCGACGATTTAATACCGAGTTTTCCGCATATAAACGTGGTGCAGTTTGGTAACAGTACGATAACGCGAAAAAAAATGAAAGAAAAAGAATTAACGACGTTTATAGAGAGAATCTTGATCAGCGTCGAAAGTAAAGAAATTTGCACGGATATTTCCAGAAATGTGATATTGCCATTGCTTAACGAAAACGATCTGACAGATTGCGTTATTGCTACTGCCTCGTCGGACAGTATATTGAAAATTTGCGGAAACTTGGTGAAGCATTTACCAAAAGCGAAACCGATGGAGGACGAATACGAAACGCTAGCTTTGTGTATTTTTGATAAGATTCCAACGGCGGATCTATTGCGTTATGTTGCAAAACATTTAAATAAGGCTGCAGATACTATGGACAGTGCTAGATAATTGTCTATTTCAGTATGTATGTGAAATAAATCTTAAAACTTCCAATATTATATTTATTATTGCTTAAAATGTAAAGAAAAGGTGCTTTATATGCGATTATAGTTGGCTGAGGTGGGCAAAAAAGGTATTAATTAATAATAACTACAATTTTCATTCCATTGCCTTTCAAAACGACTAATTAGCAAATAAAAAGGATATGTAACATACTTAGTTCCTTAAAGCCTTTTTGTTTATACATGTAATGTGATTCTATTGTAACAACAAACACCTATTATTTAACATATGTAAAAAAGTAATATTTATACCTAGATAATAATGCCAAATTCCATATGTCATGGTTTTTTTGGTATAAGTTGTAAAATTGTAGAATACTATTTTTGTGTACTTTAGTATTTGGTAAAATTGTATGTACCTAAATTAATGCATGGACATCCAATCACTACTGCTTTCACTCGGAAAAGAAAGAACAAGGAATTTAGAAAAAATAGAAGTTAAGGCACTTGTTTTAAGATTATAGACCTGCTGCTAAACAACTGAACAAAACTTCAAGCTACAGAAACTGAATGGTTCAGGGTGAGAAGTACCATGTTACTTGATGATGGTTTTATACAATTGCGCTAGGAAGACCACAATAATGAAAAACTGAATCTGAAGACAATCTTTATTGTAGTTTCGCCTTTTTGTGCATTAGTTTCTTTATCAAAGATGGGCTAAGAAATGAAAAAAATGGATTTCTATTTAAAAATAAATTTGTGGATTTGAAGAAACTCCTGAAGTTCATACAAGAGTGGAACGAATTATGTTACATCTACTGCATTTGAAGGTTGCAAAGGAAGAACGGTCAAGACACTCATTTCAAGGTTTTGAATTTGTCGAATCTTGACAGAGCCTCATTTGGGCTCAAATCAGAAAATACATCAGGAAATGAACGTGAGATAATAATCATAATATAAAAATACAGAAACTTAATGGTTCAGGGAGAGAATACCATTATTACTGCATGACTGTTGTATACAATTGCGCTAGGAAGGCCACAGTACTGAAAAACTGAAACTGAAGACAATCTGTACTGTAATTTCGCCTTTTTTCATTCAGTTCACAGTTTCACCACTAGTTTGAGAACTTCTGCTTTCTTCTCCTCACGTCTCATGGCACCCTAGTTTTTAGGTTAACTTATAACCTATTCGTTCTTACCAATGAATAAAGAATATTCTTTATTCATTGGTTCTTACTTCTTAGCGACTAGCGTAGGTACACGAATGCGTACACGTATGATTACATTTACTCAAATATTGGTTTTGAACTTGATTGATAAGGTGTAGAGATGCTCGTGGGAGCCTGGCAGCTTAGATCATTGATCTGAGCCTGGCAGCATCGCATTAAACTCAACCACTTCAAGGTATGGTAAACTTAAGAAACTTTTTCAAATTTTGAATTCAAAATGACAGATAATAGTGCAATGGGTCTGAAGTAGATGGCGGTGCGCGCGACGGCGGGTTGTCTACGTATTAAAATTACGTTCACCGAATATGTAAATTACGTTACACATGGTTTAAATAAAATCGCGAGCGTAAATCATTTTAATACAAGTACATACGTATAGGTAACAGCATTATTTGCATTGAATATGCAAAAATATTTGATTTGTATGTATATATCTGACAACCTGCAATGTAAAACGATGTCAATTTGACATATCTCCGTGATTGTAATTTTTTAATTGATCTACTTTCAAGGTCAATTTCTTTTTGGTACTAGGACCAAAAGTACCCACTTTTTGTACAGTTGCCATGGTGATCCGGAAAACGCCAATTTTACGTACCGAACACTGTCACACAATAGCGTCTTATTAAGGTGGTTGGAGAAAAATTAATTTTTCATGTACGTTCCAAATCAATAATAAAATATGAGATTTTCCATTTTAAAAAAACGCAAGTTTGATACGCCACTGGAATACAGCACGCCCCTGGTGATCCAAAATATTATAGAAATATAGGGACGGTAAATGTGTATAATTAATTTTGCAGTATCTTTTATGGTAAAGGAATTATGAGTCGGACTCCGGAGGGGTCTTAGGTGCTACTCCCTGGATATACCTTTTTAAAAATGATTTATGACGTTTGCAGTGTGCTGAGGTACAAAATACCACTCGTACCATATTTTCAATTGTTTCCTTCTTAAACAATTTTTTTTGCCTACTTGAGCAATAGGTAGGAAGGTCTGATCTAAGGGTAGGTCCAGTGCATCGCTTGACTTCAGCCAAAGGTGCCCAAACTACTTTAAGTGGCCCTATCTTACGTACTTTATTTACTTATATTTAGTTTATAATTGAATACCTCACTATGAAAATAGTGACAATTTTCACGCACGAATTTAATGAATATGAACAGTATTTGAAAAATTTCCTTTTGTTTCGTGCTGACATCTACTGGCTTATAAATTTACTATTGATCAAGAAAAACCGCACGTTTTGTCCTGTAGTTAAGCTCCGTCTACCACAGGTCTCGCTAGGTGTTATTTTATAAGGTAATCATTCTTTCACTTCATGTGTTCCTAATAGGCATATTGGCGTTTTTCGTACTTGTTGGAAGTTGTAGTATTTTGAGTTTGGTCTATTATGCATACCTATAGTAGAACCCTACTATTTGGATGTCTTTTATGGAAAATTTAGATCAAATAAATAAATTAATATATTCACAAATCACAGCTGCACTTTTTAGTACAATTCACTATGTAATACATTAATTATTATCGTTTTTGTGTCATTTTATATTGCACTCTAGGAGCATGCTAAGAGTTGAGTTGTGTTTTTAACTTTTCTATCTCAGAACGATTTGAATTTAAAAACAAATTGAATGTTTGCCTTTTGTTCCACAAAAAGGAATCTGGTCGTTTAAGGTCTGGAAAAATCGGTAAGAAGTACTTTTGCTGGCATCATCGCACAATCATAACGTACGAGATTTCTTTTGCCCGGATATACTTGTTTTGGATATGAACGGTGTTTCCTTCACTTAGGCTTAGGTACTATTTCATGCATGAGACCAGGACTTTTCCTATGACTGCATTGAGTAATTAAATAGCATAATCCCATTATTGAATTTATAACTATTTATAAATTCAATGATAATCCTTCACTCAACGATCATATAATCTGTACCATTGAATTTATAACTATCAAATTCAATGTCTGTACAATCCAAACAACGAACGGTACCCTTTTTTGATATGGGTTCCTGATTACTATGTTCAAAATATTGGCATGTGGTGTGGGACCCAGCCTTTTGTACAAACGGAAGGGAAGGGTCTGTATAGAAGTAGTTGAAATGACAGTCGTCAAGCAATAGTTTTTCACATTTTCTTGCATGAAAATGGATACTCTTGCTCTGACATCTAGCCGCGCTGATGTGGTACTTTCCTATTGAGAAATTGAAACGGCATTATGACATTATAGCGTTGTAACCAGGCGCGACATACCACAGATGTCGCTAGCTGTTTATCGAGCAACTTAAATTGTATTTCCAATACTCTTTGTTTCATGTTCTCCTAATAGCCAGATTAGCGATTTTCTTACTTGTTGAAAGTACACATTTTACCATTATGGGCTCATCAGCCATACTCAGTTCTTATTTTCTTTAATTCTTTTTCTTATTTACTAATTTTTTAGTGTTATTTGATATTATATTTATAAGAACGATTTTCCAGTCAGGTACCAAACGATAATTTTTGGAACATGACCGCTGAAAAGCTCTGAATGTGTACCTTACCTATTATTGTTTTTACATATTTGTAAAAGTGTGTAGTGGTCTAGGAGCGGTTAGCCCTATCTAGTGGTTGAAATGTAATGTATGCAAGTTAGCACCGCGTTTTCAATTGTTTTCCACAGCTAGGAAAATTTATTTTCCTCAAGTGAAAACGCGCACGCTGACATCTAACCGTTTGTTATTGCAGTACTTCACCATTGTCCTGATGGAAACTCTATCAGCATGATATGATGTGCTGGAAATTTTTTTACTATTAGTCGCAAACGAAAATCTATAGATATTCTTTGATTCATGTTCTCTTGATAGCCAGATTGATGATTTGTTACTTGCAAAGAAAAACGTAACTGAACTGACTGATACGTGAAACGGTGATGCGATTTAGTAACTATTTTTAAAATATTACTAGTCTTCTTTGAGTTTCTGAAAATTTTCCATATTGACAAAATGCATAAACGCGAACTTCACACAAAAATATATTTTAAAAGATTATTTTGTAATTGCTAGTGCTTTTGTACTAGTACCACAGATTTAAGTGTTTAAATCTGTGCTAGTACTTAGTAGGTGTTTAATACGTTACGTGTATATCTGGTACATCAATTATACCGTTGAGTGAAGATTTACTCAATATACGTATAGTTTCTGCGAGATTGGATGAAAAATTCAAAACTGCAAATTGTAATCAATAAATAATAGATTGATAATAATATTGTAGTTCTAAAGTTCCATCTACAATCTACAGCGTCGCTGCGCTGGCTGCCTATACCAAAGTTGTCATTTAAATATTCTTTAATTCATGCTCTCCTAATAGTCAGATTGAAGATTTTCTGACTTGGAAAGAAACGTTTGCGACAATTTTGCTGTGATGGCCTGATGGGTGCCATACCTATGACGTTGCCATTGAATAAAAATTTATTCAATGATGTTGCTTTTATAAGCTAAAAGAAAACAATTTTCTACTATCTTTTTGCACTTTCACTTTAAAAAAATAAAAAGTGCATTTTTGCTGTCTGTCTGTCGTCTCAGTCACAAAGGCTCTGGAATTATACCACTTACAGACTTGGTATTGGTGTCAAATATATTATACTAGTTAAATACAGGGTGTAGCACCGGTTTATATCGAAATATGTGCTCCCCTAATTAATTTACTTAGAGCAAAGTTGTAAATAGGTGATTTGTAGCTTGAAAAGTTCTGCGTCTGCTCATGTCCTCATTTATTATTTTTCAGTTCGGGAAACTGGAAAAAATAAATAAATGAGAATTAGTATTTGCGTAAAAAT